GCAACTATACGTTGAATTTCGAGCAAGGTACACATACGTTTAGGATAGGATTTAGACGCTTTCTCGCATATCAATGTATTAGTGGAGATTTGAGACAAGGCTGATCATAGTATTATTCTCCATGTTAATTTTTTAAGGTGAAATGATTGACCTAGCGGTGATTGAAGTCATTGAAATTTGGAGTAATAAAATGATTTTCTAGAGCAAAAGGATCAATATGAAGAAAAAAAATTGGGTTTTGATGGTTAAGGGACCGAAATGTAATTTGTTAAATTGTTAGGAAGGCATTAAATGCAATTAAAAATATGGTTTGAAATGTTAGCTGTTTTTACTGGAAAAATTAGTTCGAACTGCAACAGTTGCAAGTTTTTTATGCAACTTTTTCTAGCTTGCATTTGTCTGTTAGCAATCTAGCATCACACGTTCATGTGGCGTGCTTTCTTCACTTTTAGCATCAGAAACAGGATAGTGAAATTTGAATTTGCTTATTATTTAAAAGTGAGTGTGTGTGTGTATGTGTGTGTGTGTGTGTGTGTGTGTGTGTGTGTGTGTGTGTGTAGCTGGGACATAATGTTCATTTAATGCCTGAGAAATGAAAAGTGCCAACATAGCCACAAGTGGCAGGTATTGAGGTTCCGATGGCATATTCTACAATAAAAGTATGATATAGATTCTAGTTCTTAGTGTCAATATGCCATCAAGGAAAGTATTCAGTGACTGAGTTAATAAGTTTGGAAGTGCTGGTATTGGCAATGGTTCTGGGTCTGCGTACATTATCTAAGCCAAAACTTTGTGCACCTGCAAGCGAAAAAGTGTCAGCAAGAACATTTTTATTTCCCTAGGATGTGAGATGCTTAAAATAGTACGTAGTATTTCAGGCAGGGCTTGCAATAATTAGTTCTCTTACCAAGAATATAATGTCAGGTGTTTTCTTATGTTTGCTTTTTAACAAAATAAACAATAATTTTGTTATTTTCGGGTAAGTGAGTGCAATTGTAAAGATGTTGGTGGGCCAAAATATTGATTCATGAACCATTGGATATGGTTCGGAATAATAATAGTTTGGTCTCGCATTTATCATTTTGTGTACCATAGAGCCGTTTGCTTCTTAGCACACAGTGCTGGACAAACCGGCCATCAGGAAAATGCACCACTTTTTTAAGTTCAGCCTGAACATCCTTCCTTCGTAATGCATATAAAACGATGTGGCTTTGATATGCATACTGTCATATCAATCAAATATTTCAAAAAAGCTCTGCGAGATAGAAAAACTGCACATGCAAAATTAAGAGCGACACTTATAGATTTTCAGATTACTTAGTGTCATCTTGTGCTTGTAACGCTGTGTATTAACTTGCTGCAACAATTTTTTAGTTGACCCAAGTTAAATTTGACCTCCATCTTGTTTTATTCTGGTTGATAAACCCAAAAGGTCAAAACTAGACAGGGAAGGAAAGTGTTTTTTTTTTTCATCATTTATGGCAATATTATAATTGGCACAAGACATCAAGGACCTTCTTAGTTGTATTGTAGCTGAAAATTCAAAAGCAGAAATTCATCCAGACCAGAGATCGTGTGGAGAATGTTCATTTTGTAAGTTGCAGTCTGTTGTAGTGCAGCACTTATATTACAAAGCTGATACAACAAAGGAAGACACTTGTCATAATATTACAACCTATCCCAAGTGGTGCAAAACAGCGTACCAGCACTGTGCAAACAACATACTGTCAAGGCTGGAATATATTGTAATGCTAAAGCTAGGTAATGCATTTGGTATATTTTAATATACCGATTTTCATTAGCGATGGAAGACATATGCAAAAGCAGTGTTCAAAGGGTTGGATGTTAATTTTAGGGCATATTGTACAGATAATGTTTCTGTGTGATGTGATAGAGTGCCAAAATTCGCTTCAGCCAAAAGGCATTCGCATAGGGATGTCTTAATTGCTCACAAAGAGAATCGTATTGCATAAATGTGAATTGGGTCAAGCATCTTTAAGTACGACGCTTTATATATGAACTATAAACAGCATAAATATAGACCTGTTGGGATCTAATAAAAATTATATATTAGTTAAAACGACTTTTCTATCAGCACCCCACCTAATGTTCGCTACTATTCTGAGCAAATCAGGGGCTTTTTAGCATTTAGCTTTCAATTTCTTAATGTGTGGAAACAAGGCAAGTTTTCCGTCGAAGATAGTACCCCAAATTGTGTTTTCCTTAACAACGGGTACAAGTGTTCTATCAAGCGCGAGTTTAGAAACACAAAGTTGTCTTCATAACTGACTGAAATACACACATATCATTGTGGATTTAAAGTATTTAAAAAAATTGACAGTGGCCCAATTTTGAACTTTGGTTATAATTTGTTGCCGTTTCCTGTCAGTTGTATGCATCTGTTCTGATGGATAACATATTAGGAAATCACCAAATATAGGAAGCACTGCACATCAATAGCAAAACATGTAGTAATGCTAATAATTTTGATGTTAACAGGCGTTACAAATAAAATACTGCCCTGGGACACATATGTCTGTCGAAACATAATCGAAAGGTTGTACCAAACTCGTACCTTGTGTTCTTTTTTGAGATAAAGTTCGATATACAAGTGGGTAGGCAGCCTTTAAGACCGATATCGCAGAGGTCATTCACTATCCTGGACTTCCATCTTGTGCCGAAGACCTTTCTCAGATCGACGAAAGTAACTATTAAATGAATTTTTTTTTATAAAAACATCGCTAATAAAACGTTTAAAATCTAACTAGATGATTGTTGGTACTACGGCTATATTGGAAGCCACTTTGGAACGGAGATGTTAAATTATTAGTCTCCATGTACTAAACAAACCTTGTAATGGCCATTCGTTCCGTCATTTTACACAGACAGCTCGTCAAAGTAATGACGGTAGTTGATAGGATCTGTGCTGTTCTTTGTTATTTTGGGAAGAAGTATTACAACAGCCTCTTTCCAGGCAAGTTCAAAGTTCGATTTGACAGAAGGAAAGGAGAACCAATACAAACACCAGAAAATCTGCGAGCAGAAATTATTTTGTGGATTTTATAAAAAGTCTTTCTTTATGTCTACTAACCAGTTTTGATCAACTTGAATCAGATTATATGTTTCTGTTTCAAAACTCCGATATGAAATATGTAGACAAATATATTTTTAAAAAATTCTTTCCCTGAATCCGCAAAAGTAACAATTTACATTGCAATGTGTCAAATTTTGAATAAGCATTGAACCTTAAAATTGAACACATTGTGCATTAAAATTTTATTAGTCAATACAGCAAGGTTTTGTGAAGGGTCACTTAGACCTTTCTCCATATCAGCTGTTAAATTTGAAAGACAGCAACTACGGCTCATTTAGAATTAACCAGGGCATCGCAACGCTGTCCTGAGAAAGTAAACATTAAAGTTATTTACCATAACCACTTGATGTGAACCCCATGTCAAATAGTCATTTACAAAGGGAAGTTGGTATGTATCGTATTTCTCATATTCTAGGTTGACAAAAGAAATAATTATCTTGGGGAAAAATTAGGAACCGCTGATTAAGATTGGTCAGTTTATATTAAGGCGTACACCTTGGAAGTGATGTTGAATTTAAAGTAACGACTTTGGGGCGAATTTCTTTAGTCCGAGAGTTTTCCTACGAGAGGACAAGACTCGACTGACTTCAGGGGAAAACTAAAGAACAGTTCTTTCCTCGTTAAGTAAGAGGACGAGGTGGTTGTCTTGTAAGCAAAGACAGGCCTTTGGTGCTAGGACGCACATTTTCTTGAAAAGAACAGCATTAGATGAAACAGCTCTCTGGAACAGTCCCGGACATTCCGAAAGACGGAAGTCCGGATAAGAGATGAAGCGGATAGAAAGATCAAGGAAGATCAAGCGTATACACGTGAAGATAGGAAGACACGTGTGATACACGGAGACAAATGCAAGAAGCTACGCTACATGATGCAAATCAGGCGTGGTCATTGTGCTATTTTCACCTCTCGTTATCATGATGAAATGAATCCGTAATAGAACACTGCCACTGAAATTCTGCTAACGTAACTTTGTTTGAATTGAAGCTGACACTGCTAGTTTATGTTATTAATTAAATTGTTATTCTCTTGTCTAAAGATTGCTCGTATTGCATTATTTCTTCTCAATAGTTTTGCTCAGTTCTCTGTTGATGTAATATCTATCTAGTCACACCGGGAAATGAAATTGAGGAAGGTGATCCTCTAGATAACGACAGTCAAATCTAATTAACTACCCCTCTTTACCAAGAAGGACAACATTACAGATATGCTAAGTTTTATAGTATTAGTATTTTTAAATTACGTTCAATAATTGGGATTTTTTTGGTGAGATATAAATTTAAATAAAAGCATTTAAAAGGTCATAGACGCACATTCCCAACAAGTTTCAAACGTGAAAACAGAAAATTATAGGACACAATTTGAAATCTACTTAATTTTGTCATTACGTTTCATCGGATTGACAACTCTCAATCGGATGACTTCAAGATGTTAAAATTGCATGCATTGAATCTCCTTTATACCAGTTCTTGTGCTTTCTTACCATAAATGAGCATTTGTTGCATATCCGAACCATTATATGGGTGGTGCAGCTTTCAAACCATGAAAGCTGTATCATTCGGAAGACTTCTGACACTGAAATAGGAAGCCCTGATGTTTGTCACATGTGCAAGTAAATATAGCAACACGTATCTTTTGTTCTGTGTGTGTATGCGTGTGTGTTTGTGTGTGTGTGTGTGTGATATAGATTTTTAACGTAGCTTTAACAATTTTTCAGTCATATCGCTACGATGTCTGCAGTGTGACAGTTTATAGTGATGTCTAGCACTGGGGCATCATGCCGCAGACATGTAGTATATCCCTCCCTGTCACATTATCCTGACACCAGGCCGAGCAGTCCCAACACTAACCTTTTAATGATGAGCGCCAAGCGAGGCAGCTGTTAGTACCATTTTAAAAGTCTTTGGTATGACTTGGCAGGGTTTCGAACCCGCGACCACCCACATCCGAAGCGGATGCTCTAACCACTAGGCCACCGGAGCAGATCATTTTTTTGCTGCCTAATGTGACTTATTTACAAATCACTGTATACGCATATGTATATTTTACAACAATAGTTTGGTCCAGCCAAAACGTACCGTAGGTCTGTGTATATTTCTTGATTTACACTTGATTGGGAGACATATATTTTAAGGCTGCAACGTTTCGTAACTTGTAAATTACTTAGTTTGCTTACTGCCTACAACCGTTTACAAAATTACTAAACAATGCTGAACGTGGAATCGATAACGAATCGCCGAAGTTGAAGAGAATTGGTTTTAGCACACATTACACATTATATGAATTTCTGATAATACTGATACAATTTTATTTAAACTGTATTATTTACATGTTGCAAAAGCATGCTTGTTAACAGAACCTTCGATAAGTTAACATTTTATTTGAATGAAACATCGTTTCAAGTTTGTAAAGTAATGTATAGTTTCTTAGATCTTGCAAAATCATCCCTCGGGTATATCTGCACATTACCTCTGATAGCAGTAGAAAACAAAAAAAAAAAAAAAAACGATCCAAGAATTTTTACCAAAAAATGTCAAATTATTCTACTAACGGTTACTCAACGTGGGGCCAGATATATTCTGTATCAAAGTTTCAACTTTGAAGTACCAATTTGTTGTTTACAGAAAACAAAGAAAGTCTTTATTAGATTTAATTTTCAAATTATAGACCAGTCTACTCCAAACTATGAGAAACTCTCATTCTATATATGTTTTCCAAAACCAGTTACATAAAAACAAGCAGTTGTCATGCCACTATACCATATGTAAAATAAAAACATACATAAGTGTTCAGTGCTTAAAACAGATCTATATTTAAATATACATTGTTGCCAATCCATTGTGTAGTTGCTACAAATATAATTAATTAAAACCATACAGTAATCATCGAATCCGTCTGATGACTAACCTACGCATCTTGTACGTCCAGTTCCTACTGACCAGTTCATGTATTGCTTGGCAAAAATATTCTTAATGAGAAGGAAGCCTCCATGTTCTGTGATTAGCATGCCGGCATCACGACCGAAATGAAAAGGTGTGATTTCGATTCCTACCACTGAATAAAGTTGTTTCATTTTTCTTGGTACTAAATAACCTACATGAGCTACTGCGCCGCAAAGCACCAAACTAAATCTTTATTACAAAATTAATATTGACGTTTTTAGGCAGGTCCATCATTGTCTCCGATGAACTAATCTCCTTTTAGCTTATATATCTAACGATAAAACTCAATAAAGCTGAATTTACTTTTTTATCATCGATGTTTTTAGAACTTGAGGACTGTTATTATTATTATTATTATTATTATTATTATTATTATTATTATTATTATTATTATTATTATTATTATTATTTTTATTATTATTATTATTTTTTTTTTTATTATATATATATATATATATATATATATATATATATATATATATATATATATATATATATATATATATATATATATATATAACGATTCAGTCGCATCATTTATTTTGATAATGCGTGCTTAGTCGTAAAGGAATATGGGTTGGTGCGTGCAGGCAAGGCGATGGGTGCCGTTTACCCGTGGTCCTGGGATGGAATCTCCGCAGAGTACGAAATAAAAATTCTTCAACTTGTATGATAGTATTATTTGTATTGAAATATTAATTTTGCCTACTAGTATCAATCATTCTTCTATGCAATCCAGGGATAGCACTTTCGTTCTGTTTGGTGTATATTTATAATTCTATATATTTTGATTCATGTGAGAATAAAAACAGTAATTAAATTGCTCTCTGTCTACAAACTGAATCAATTTTTGTTGGTCTTACCCAACCCACTTTTTTGATACTTTACAGACTTTAAGTAAATTGTTCCTTAAATTATTTGGCATGACAAACACAACCGAATAAAATTATATAATTGGGCAATATTATGAGAAATGTATAGCGATTTCAGAAAGTTTCATTCGAGCTTCTACAATAAAAATAAGATAAAATATGGGATGATATCTTTATAAAATTATTTGGCAAAATTAAACGTATTGCAGATTATTGGATATAATATGTGAAGAAACTAAGAAATAATACAACAATTATGTTCTTGAGAGATGTATTAAATGCTTGGATTAATGATCATAATGAAAAAAAATTTGGTTCTATGGAAGTGTGGTTCAATCTACCTATTTGGGGAAGTGAAAAGAGTTGCAAACAAAATTTGGTATAATAAAGGAGTGAAGTTTATGAGCAATATTTTTATGGAGTTAAGGTAGCACATATGGAAACATCAAGACAAAATTTAACATGAAAAGGAAATCAATTGCTTTTGGTGGGTGTTTGAAATAATATTAAAAATCTATATGACCCATATCAGGACAGTATTAAAAAAAATCTAGCGTAATGGTATGTTCAAAGGTCTTAATCATAATATTTTAGTACTTAAATCAAGGCAGTAATGGGATCATATTTTAATTCTAATTCAGAGATATGGAAACAAACTAACAATGCACTATAAACCCTGCAATACAATGGGATTGTTTCTTTGGCGATTGCTAATGGAACAGATGACGAGACCAGTTACAACATTATCATAAAAACAAATGCTAATAAAATCTTGCCACTACCTTAGATGAAATTCAAAATCAAATGTGGTAGTTTAAAATCACCAAACATTTGTTCAGCAAAAGACTGTAAGACACAAAATTGACGAGTAATAAACATCGTTTATGACTCCTCCATCTGAATAATTTGTTAGGGTATAATTTGTACGTACTTTAATTAGCGTATCATACATAGCGCAGAATGAATTTACTGGATAGACTGAACAAAGCACAAAGCAGGCTGTACTTGTCCAAATGAACAAAGTTAAGTCATCATTTTTTTATTCGTGCATTCACCATGTTTTGTGGCTGCCTCGTATATATATAAAAGTATATATTAAAGTCAGTAAAGTATTAAAAAAGTTGGGTTGGGTAAGACCAACAGGAACTGATTCAGTTTGTAGACAGCAATTTCATTACTGTTTTTCTTCTCGCAGGAATAAAAATACATTCTAATCACTGAGTAAACAGAGGATATACTAAGGTGATACAATTTTGATAATTAATTTGCATGCTTTCATCTATGGTCTACGAAAAACTCCATACCTAAAATATCACATTGAGATGCAACCAAAAGTAATTTTCAACGGGCATAAAGATATACATCTTGACTAAATTGTATATTTCCTAGACATTGTTCTTTAGTTTTATTACTGTAAACATCTTGAATGTGCCGATGTACTAATAGCGCGAGATTTATTGATGTGTTAACAGTCTTGATGTGTGGCAGTGCTATAATCCAGAATATGTTTAAATGAATTGACAATAATATCAAAATAGTAATTTAGTCCAAAGGTATATATGCGCATATTGTATTTCCAGCGAATAATTTAAATAAATAAGTCCTCTGAATACAACAGATGTTAAAATAGGAATGAATAATCTCTGATGTAAACAACCTTGCTATAAAAACCTATGATACAATAAAAAGACCAGGATGAGGGCCAAAATTTTATTTCCAGAACATGCTTAGTTGTAAGCAAAGTCGGGTCTTTTGCTAAACAAATTAGTAACGAGCACGACAAAACAAAATCAGGTAGACCAATAATTTTCAAGGAGAAGACCAGTGACGTGAAGTCAGATATATGATTGGCTTTGTAAAATATGTCCGGTTATATATTGTTGGCTTTGTAAAATATGTTCGGTTAACACATTATTGGCTTTTTAAGGCCATGTCCGGTTTTTATATATTATTGGCTTTTGAAGGTCATATTTCATGAGTTGCATTTTTCCTGAATATCTTACCATTATATACGTAAATGAGAATATCCTGATATACAAACTTGCTAGAGATTTGATTTTTAAACAATGTACTCATTTTATTTAATATTTTTGTATAGGCCCTTGCTATGCTAAGATTGTTTGCTTGTCTAACTCACAGATGATTTGCCTCGAAACTATATTTGCCAAGTAAGTATGGCAAGCTACCATTTGTTTCGTTTGAAGACTTTTGACATTTTATTCAACACACGTTAAAATAAAGCTGATCCCCAGAAAACTGTTTTAGAACTTCGTTGCTAACATTTATTTTTTTTATTTTAAAATTGTGGATAATTTGTGTGTTGCAATGACCTATTATTCTCTGTGTGGACTATTCGTGTAATGCAGTGACCCATTTTTGTTCTCTTTGTGGACTCTTCGTGTATTGCAGTGACCCATTCTTGTAAAGTTATGATGAGATCCAACATAGCATCGATTAGTTAAAATCTTGGATACGATGTTAAAACTAATGATGTTTTTCTTCTCTCACCCAGTTTTTGTGATCTCGCAAAATTATAGTTGTAAACATGCCTAATCACCAAACAAGAATGAAATTAGAGAACGATATTTCACCGGAAAAATAAGAACGTTGTGCAACCGAAAATGAACATAAGGAAAACCCAAAATAAAGTTAAAGGGACATAAGAAATAGTACTTCTGAATACAGGTTGTTAAATATAATCTAACAGTACCTTGATAATACATGCCGTGCTAGAGCAACGCAGTGGAAACTACCATTAATCATTAAAATTAAATATGTGTTGTTGAAAGGCATTTTAAAATACAATTAACTGTTGAAGGATATTAGCTCACTGTGTTATTGCAATGCATTGGAATGTACCAATTATTATTAAGGTTGCTAGTGTCAACTAGATACATAGTTTCATGATTGTAACCATTAACACGTACTGTTTTAATTAAGTTTTCATTCCTTTTCCCTTTTCCCTATCTCTTTTTTTATATAAATACCCATTTTTCGTTAATTTGTGAAATCTAGACAGAGTGTCTGAAATATGGCAAGTATAGCTACTAATGACTATTACTAGGTCACATGGCTAGCAAATATATAGTAACTAACATAGTTATGACTAACGCAAACGAAACAAGCAATATGTTTTATTCGCAAGAAAATACTAATTATGCAA